TTCATAATCTTATTCTTGCCTGTCGTTCTTTATCTTTTATGTATGTTATATATCCTCTTTTTGTTAGTTTTAGTCCAAGCATCCTGCCTTCAGTGTTTGGGTATAGTTCCTGGTCGACTATTACTGGACTTGTTTTGATCTTGGCTATTGGTATTATCTTGAATTTGTTCTAATTTGTCCTGATTTTCCATTTTTTCTCAGCCATTTATGTTTTTTATCGCTGTTGCCGCGTAGCGTGCCATAAATTGGGTTGATTTTAATGGGTATGATACTATTTGAGTGATATCATCAGCAAACATTACATATTCGCTAAAGGGGGTTGGTTGAGGTGTGTCTGAAGTATAAATTGTATATAGTGTCGGAGATAGGTATCCTCCTTGAGGTACTCCACTCTCGAGATTAAACATAGTTCTCATAAAGTTTCCAATTTGATTTTGTGCTCTCCTATCATCTAAATAGTCACACAATATTCTTAGCAAGTGTTCGTTAAGTCCCAAATTTAATATTTTACATTTTAAGCCCAAATGCCAAACTTTATCAAAAGCCTTAGAAACGTTCCTTAAAATTATATTGATCTGGTTCCCCTTGCTTTTTTCTATTGCCATTATTTCCATTATTGTAGCGATTGCAGTTAGGGTATTTCTATTGGGCATAAATCCATGTTGTCTATTGTTTGTTTTCCCCTGTTGTGTTAAAAAGGTTATAAGTCTTGAATTTAGAATTTCTTCCAGTAATTTCCCGGTAATTTCTAATAAAGATATTGGCCTGTAGTTTAATATTTCCTTATTGTCCTTGCCATCCTTGGGAATAAATATAATTTTAGCATATTTTAGTTTGTCTGGAATGTAACCCATTATTAAGCATGCGTTATAGATGTTCAATAATGTTTTTAAGATGTTGTCCGGTAGATTTATGATCATATTTCATGTAATACCAGTGAGACCGGGGGCCTTTTCTTTAAACTTCCTCAGACAGTGCATCATTTCTCCCATGGTTATTATTTGATTATTAGGTAGTAAGTTATAGTCTATATATTGCTTTGGGGTGATTTTATGTGTCTTCCCATTTCATCTTCTATCCTTTCTTCGTGTTCAGTATCAAAATCTTCATTTTCCTCATCTGATATTTTAAAAACTTTTACCCATTCCCTTTTGAATGCTAACTCTTGTTCATTTTCCTCTGAGTTTTGTTCCATTATGGTCTTGTGGGGTTTCGTGATGTTGAATCGCACACAGCATGGAGGTGAGAAGGGGAACTCAGCGATGGCGGTTTTCTTATATAAATATATTATATACAGAACAGTCTGGTGCTGGAGAGATTGCTTGGGTAGGAGCTTCTTTAGAGGAGATGTTGCGTGTTACATAAGAACATAAAATAAGGAGTCTGCAATAGGCCGGTTGGCCTGTGCATGGCAGCTCCTGTCGAGAGTTACTACCACTCTCTATCATCCATGAATCTATCGAGCCTCCTTTTGAAACTTTCCAGAGTTCCCGCACTTACTACAAAGTTGTTAAGCTTGTTCCACTCGTCCACCACCCTATTTGTGAACCAGTTTCTTCCTATCTCCCTCCTAAACCTAAACTTATCCAACTTGAATCCGTTGCTCCGAGTCCTATCCTGCTCGGATATTATAAGAACTTCATCTATATCCCCTTTATTGATTCCTTTCACCCACTTAAATACTTCTATCATATCTCCCCGCACTCTTCGTCTTTCTAGGGAATGCAAGTTAAGTTTCTTTAACCTATCCTGATATGGAAGGTTTCTAAGTCCCGGAATCATTTTTGTCATTCTTCGCTGCACCGACTCTAGTGAATTTATATCCATTCTATAATAGGGGCACCAGAACTGAACCGCATAATCGAGGTGCGGCCTAACTAGCGCAAGATATAGTTGCAATAAGACCTCTGCACTCTTGTTACTTACACTTCTAGATATAAAACCCAATACTCTGTTTGCCTTATTTCGAACATTAACGCACTGTTTTCTAGGCCGTAGGTCCGGGCTTACAAGTACCCCTAGGTCTCTTTCACAAGTCGACTTCTCTAGGTTGATGTTGTTAAGGCTGTATACATTATAAGTATTTGTTCTTCCAATATTAAGTATGCTGCACTTGCTGGTGTTGAATTTCATTTGCCATTTTTCAGACCACCCCTGCAGTTTATTTAGATCCTCCTGTAATGCATTTGCATCCTGCCCTGAATTAAATTGCCGCCCTATTTTGGTGTCATCCGCAAACTTGCTTATGTCACTGCTGATCCCAGTATCTAAATCGTTTATGTAGATTATGAACAAGAGTGGGCCAAGTACTGACCCCTGGGGAACCCCACTGGTTACACGGCCCCACTCAGATTTAACACCATCTACGCTGACCCACTGCGTTCTATCGGTGAGCCATGATTTTATCCACGGCGAGACTGGGAGCTTATATACACGGCCACCGGAAGCAAGACCGGAAGTAAGCGTCACAGGTGGCCTCCCCCCCCCCCTGCGAGTCTAGATGACGAGGCTTGTAAGAGAAACTCCCCGGTTGGCTGAACCCCGCCGCGACTAAAGGCGGCTACGCTTATGGTGAGATCATCCACTACAGTCTTTAATGTATGGTGTTTTTTGCTTGTTATGCCCCACCATCTTGTTTATGGAAGTCCAAAATGTTTTTGTGTCTTTAGTCTTGTCGGCCACTATTATATCATTCCATTTTTTTTTTTTTGCTTCCTTACATGCGTCTCTTAATTTTATCTGTCGTGCTGTCTGCGTCGTATATAGCCACCAGTTACTGCCATGTCTTTCCATATACTGTACTTGTTTATTTCATTGTAATGGGTTTGGATTAATTTAACTTCTTCTGTTAGTCTATTGTTGGGTAATGTTCTGAAGTGTGAAATAGGAGTGTGTTTGGTAATAGATGTTTTTATTGTTGATTGCTGGGGGTATTTATACGATTCTGCCGGATCAGGTAGACAGATCTGAAGTGCCACCAGCAAGTAACACCTCCTCCTCCGCACCAGCCTGGCGGCTCCCGCTCCCGCCGCTCCCGGAGGGGAAGGGGAGTATTGTAGTGGATTCCTCCCATACAAGCACCGAACCTTCTCAAATTCTCCAGCCTACGCCTCCAGCGCCGCCCACGGAGCGGGGGTCAACTATCTACCCACGCCTATCCCCGCCTTATACCTAGGCGTCCCTCAAGCCGCGTGCCCCCACTTTGGGCACCCTCACCACCCACCTCTCTCTACTCAACGCTTATTACCATGCTACCTACCCAGCAACAAGCTGCATTGTACATCTAATACAATATGTATACACTGAGCACATTGTGAGTTTCCTTTCTCCATCCCATCCTGAGTGTGAACCAATATCTCATAACACCACAAGATCTCCCTTATTGTACGTGTGTATGTGGCCATTACAAAGAGAATTGACAAGCGCAAAGAGAAATTAAACAACTGGTCGCATACATTACTCAACAATATTTGTCACTGTTAGTAACCCACTCGAAGTCATAATTAAAAGAATCAATTAGTGTAGAAAACTGTCAAAACCATTGACTGTTGTGACAGCACTAACTGTTAACGATTTTAAGTCCAGACTTTAACAATCACTCGTATACACGTCAAAGAAAATTCAGTAGACCGCGTATATCCAGTGCACAACAGAAAACTGACCGACTGCTCTACAGGCAAATTGATTTCTTTAAAAAAAATACGAGTTATATAGATAATAAATTCGTGTAAAGGTAATAGAGGAACCAGTTTAATCAAACGTCCGCATGTGGTAATATTATACATGTTACTGATAAAGAAAGAAAGGGAACAGTCATGTTATAATGACTCGCATTTGGTTTCGTGTTTCATAAGGTCGGAGGTTCGAAGCCTCATTCATACAGATTCGTGCGTGGAGGAACTCGCAGTGTTGCCATTTTAGCCATTTTCTCGCTAGATCTAGCTCATTTACATGGGATCTAACTTCTCGCCCTTTTCTAGCCATTTTTTAAAAGAAGACTGGTAGATTCCTAGTATTATTAATGCCAAATTTTGTCATACTGATTTTTTTTACAAATGTACTTTAAGCTGCAAAAATTATTTAATGCTTAGCTAAAAATTCCCTTTGACACCGTTATGACTGGTTTTGAACCTCTAAGGTTGACCCCCTTCAAGGGAACATTGAAAATGCGCTTGACTCAAAGCCTTGCTTGGGTTGTCTCTTCGAAAAAGAAGTCGACCTTTAATAAGAAAAAGGTTTCCAAACGGATCAAGAGAAAGCACTAAGGGAGAGATGCGTGAAGTTCATTATCATCTTGATACAGCAAATTCGGCAAAGACGACCAAATAATGTCATAAATCTTCAGCAAATGTCTTTGGTTTCAGTTGAGAAAGCACTTCGTGTAGTTAAAGAATCCCTGATACCTTTAATGGAACTATTGCAAGTCCCCCCAGAAGATATTAGTGTCATTGATAATTCAGTGGAAAGACATACCTCTTGTGAAGTGGAAAGAAGTTAAGCAAACAATTCCTTTCTGGAATGAAGTGTTCAGGTACCGGGATGCACCAGACTGCAATCCGTACCAGAAACTGGCTGAACTTGCTCTGTCAGTCCTCATTCTACCTCACTCCAACCCTGAAGTTGAGCGAACATTCATTCAGTTAAACATAGTAAAAAATAAACTGAGAAATCGTTTGACAACAAAAATGGTTAATACCCTCTAGCAATCCGGGCAGGATTCCGAAGCGGAAAATCTTATTATGAGTACGAAATCCCTGCACCAGCACACCAAATGAGGAGGAAGATGAATTCCCAGAGTTGCTGTTTTTTGCAAGAGGTGAGTATTCTGTGCACCTGTACCAGTATATTCAGAATATTCTTTTAATCTAAATATTTTCTTGCCATGGCTATAGTAATAAAGAAATGGAAAAGCGTGATTTTCAAACATTTTTGTGCAATTATTGATTATACTTACGTCATGTCGAATGCAAGAAATAGTTATCTTTTTTTTTCCAATCTAGCAGGTTATCGAGGCCTGTCTAGCGAGGTTTAAACTTACATCCCTGGCAACACTGGGAGCTCGAAGCAGGAGCTGTTTACATCTAGCAGTGGCCGCCGTACTGTGTAGTAAGTTTAATATTATTTCCTTTGAATGTAACCCTTGCATTGAACACTACCGGTTTTACAGTTGGGAATATTATTTTGCCTTAATTGCAGTATGGATTTAGATATGCATGTGTATCGGTTGACGTTGCTGCATAATAACCTACATAGTAATGGGAAGGTTATAGGAGAATTCATTGCACAGATAATCAAGTTTCCTAACGTACATGAAAACCTTTAATAATTTTAAGTGGAGCTTATGAGTTTCTGGAATGTGAAGACGGAAGGTGAATTGTAATAATTCAATCTTTTGCATATTCTGTTATTTACCATTATCAATAGAGAATCGACCTTAAATCTTTTTGTACAGGGAACAAGCATGGTTTGATTTTTGTACAAAGACTTGAAGTTTGACCTGCATTTCTTTTTGTGATTTTGTAGGTCGTGTCTGAAGGCAGCTTTGCATTTCTTAGGGAACCCACCTGATACCAAGAATATGGCTTAATTTGATTCTTTATGTTCATGCTCATTAATCTTTCTTTTACATTTTTATGAAGTTTATTTTTCATGAATAATGAACAAGTCTTTACAAATTGGCACAGGATATAGGTATGGCAGCCGTAGGCAAAATGTCGATGTTTATAGGTGCGGCAACCTAATGCGTATGCTTGGTCGGCAGACTATATAATGATCGTAGTGGATATTTTGCCGTGACCAGCTAAGGTCCTACTAATGCTATTTTGCTGCGAGTGCGCTTTGATTGGCTGAGTATCTTCTGTTTAATATGATGGGGGTCTGCCCTCGGCTAGGAAGTTAGGTAAGGTTAGGTAGGTTTCTTTGGTTGGTTAGGTCAGTTCTATTAGGTTATAGTAAATGTTGCCTCTTATAAGGATAAGTTTTTATGAACAACAGAAATATGTTTACAGCTATACAACGATCGACTCACTGCAAAATAAATGACAAATGCCACCAGTCACGATCAAATAGAGTTCTCGCGCTTTTCATCAGTATTGAACGATTAGCCAATCAGCGCACTCACTAAAATAACGTTAATAGGAACTTAGCCGGTTACGGCAAAATACCCACTGCCTGTAATGACAGTAATCCTGGAGCCGATGGCTAACACCACAACGCGTTGTTCAATTTCGTTAATTTTTTCCACATGTTCATTGGATGATAATCATGATAGTAAGTAATAAGAATGATATAACAATACACAGAACATAATAGAATCTGATCTAACCAACCAAAGAAATCTACCTCGCCTTATCCAACTTCCTAGCTGGGGGGGCCGACTCCCCACCATATTAAACAGAAAGTACTTAGTACTTTGATATCTGTTACCAATAAAGGCAACTTTCTCAAAGCGACATGGTGTAATTTAACGTTTCTTGTGAATGTGAGCAGACAACAACATAAGTCAACATGGTTGATTTTTCGACTGAATATATATGGTATATAATTTCTTGGCATGCAAAGCACGTAGAGACAATCATTTTAGTGTCATGGTCAGTTTTTCATTGGGTTTTATCCTGCACTATCCCTCATCCTTCTTACCCTGCCCAATACAGGTGATTTATGATCGTAGATAGAGAAGAACTAAACAAATTAAAAATGAATGCTTATAATTAAAGAACATCTGTGGAAAAAATGAATGAAATCGAACAGCTTCTTCTGCTGTTTGCCATCTGCTCCATTATTACCAATGATAGTTACTAAGATGACCTTTTTTCTGACAAACCTAACCTAACCTTTACCATTACTAACACAATCTGTGGTACCATACCTATATCCAGTGTGATTTTGGGCGTACGGCTGCTGTGCCTATATCCACTCTGTAACAAATTTTCCCTTGAAAATTTTTATAACTTGCAGCACCACAATATTTCCCAGATTCCTTAATGTATTTATGGATCTTTACTGGTATGTTATGGACAAGGGTCTGGGTTAACCAGGTGTCTAACAAAAATATCAATAGAATAAAACTTAAGTCTTATTATAAGAGTAAAGCAAATGGGGTGGAGGAATAGCACTTTTTGTATTCTGTTTTCCCCCCCTAGTTTTTCTTGTAAATAAAGACGTTTTATACCACTACCCAAGAAGGACACCATCTTGTTTATTGTACTTCAGTCATTTATTTACATAAGCTGGAAGTGTCTGAATGTTTTATAGACATTAATTCTATTCTCTTTCATGCCTGTTACTGCCTCCAATGCTTTGGGGTGCAAAGGGCCTCCACATAATTATTTCAACTTGTGCAATCATGGGCTCTCAGAGATTTCATCCCATCTGTTCTCTGCCTCCTTCATGGTCTGAACCCAAGTAGGCCTCAGTCTTCCTCTTCTTCTCGACCCCTTCTGGCTGCAGCCACGCCACTTTACTTCACTTACTTACTTTTATCCTCTTCACCACTGCTCGGCTCGTTAGCCACTTGGGCGGGGCGATCGGTCACGTCTCTGTTATGCACTGTTGGCAAGTACTGGGCATGCACCGGCTCCTGAATATACCTGAACCTGCTCCAGTCTTGAAAGAGCTCACACTTGGTGCCGTCACAACACTTTCTGGTAGATTGTTCCAAGAGTTCACAACTCTCACTCTGAAAAAGTTTGCCCTCACAGTTTTTTGGACTTGCGGCTTCTTCAATCTTGAGCTGTGACCCCTTGTGGGGTGAGCGTCCTCCAGCTCCAAGTAAGGACACTCGACTGGGTAGTGCCCCTTGAGATGCTTATACACCTCAATTAGGTCGCCCCTTGCCCGTCTGTAGTATAAGCTAGGCAAGTTCAGGCGCTCCAATCTCTCATGGTAGCTGAGGTGCCGAAGTGCAGGCACCAGTCTGGTGGCCCTCCTTTGAACATTTTCAACCAACTGACAGTCCCTAGCATGTCTCGGGGACCAGACGAGGTGACAGTACTCCAGATGGGGAAGCACTTCACTCATGAAGATTGTTACGAGGGACTGACTGTCTAGATATCTGAACGACCTTCTTATAAGACCCAATAATTTATTTGCCTGATTTACCTTCTTCAAAATGGTCCGAGAACTTCAGCTCATTGTCAACATACACACCTAGGTCCTTCTCACATTCAGTCTCAAATAGTGCAGTTTCTTCATCCCGTTGGGACATATGAAATGCCTCCTCACCGTTGGTACGCCCCAGGTGCATCCTCTTACACTTTGTGACATTGAATCTCGGCAGCCATTTCTTCGACCATTCTTGAAGCTCTCAGAGATTCTTCTGGAGCTCTTCACAGTCTGCTTGGTTCTTGATTTCCCGAAATAACTTGGCGTCATCGGCAAACATTTGTATGGAGGAGTGTACAACGTCAGTCATGTCATTTATGAAACAAACAAACAAACAACGAGCCCAATACCTGTGGTACCCCACTTGTGACAGGTACGGATGATGATTTCGTGCCATTAATCACCACACACTGTAGAAAGTCTTCTATCCATGCTAGGACATTTCCCCAAATTCCGTACCGTTTCAGTTTGATTTTCAGCCTTTTGTGGGGTACACTGTCGAGAGCCTTGGCAAAATCTAGGTATATATTGTCGATATTACCACCCTTTCCATAATATGGGTCCAAATATCCAATACCTTGAGCAATTGCGTTAAGCAGGAGCGCCCCGGCATAAAACCGTGTTGGCAATCCTTTACAAAGTTGTTTCTTAGTAGATGTTCCACGCGACATCTCTGATAATACTCTCAAGTACTTTACATATTATGCTGGTCAGGCTCACCGGTCTATAGTTGTTCGTGGAGTGACGATCGCCCTTCTTGAAGATAGGACTTGCATAAGCCACTTTCCATTCACTGGGGACCTTTTGTTCATCCAGGCATTTACAAAGCAGGATCTTCAGGGGCTTGGCAAGCTCGTTGCACAACTCTTTTAGCACTCTAGGATGCACCATGTCAGGGCTGGGACTCTTACGGACCTTTAGCTTTGACAGTTTATTTTTGATGCCCTCTTCTGTGAACACAATGTGGGTCAGTGCTGTGTTGAACTGTCTCTCCTCAAACGCAGGAAGGTTAATCGCATCCTCTCTTGTGAACACCGAGGAAAAGAAGCTGTTCAATGCCTCAGCTTTATCCTGGTCAGAATCTGCATAACTACCATCTTCAAGCCTCAGGTCTGATACTTCTACTCGCGTTTTTAATTTCGACTTTGCATAGCGGTAAAACGCCTTTGGGTTTGACTTGACCTCGCTTGCAACCAGCCTCTGGAACTCTTTTTCAGCCATTCTACACTATCTTTGCTTTGTTTCTGGCTCTTGCATACATCATCCTGTCCTGCTCATCGTTTGACCCAACCCATGTCTTGAATTTCTGGGTTTTCTTCTTAACTTTCTCGACCGCCCATGGTTATGTGTAGGGATCCCCTCTTATTCCTAGAGGCACTGCGTTTGGTCTTGGTTATATATTTATCGATCAAATGGGTCACTTTACTAGTTATGATAGTCAGTGTAGTGTCTTCATTCTTGTGCCTTAATGAGTCAGGCCAGTGGAAACCCCTCACCCCTTTGTAATTTCCCTTGTAATATTTGCACCTTGGCCTGGCCTTATCTTGAACTAGGTAGCAGTTAAATCTAAATGACAACACTATATGGTGACTGGTGCCAACTGGGGCAAGGTGTTCCAGTTTGGCCACCATACCCTTCTTGTTTGTTATGATGAGGTCTAGTGGCTTGGGTGTTTGCTCCCCTCTGTAATGTGTCGGGTCTCTAACGTGTTGGAACAGAAAAGTATCTCTCGGAGTTTCTACAAAATGAGTATCAGAGTTATTCAAGTCATTTGGGATGAACTCGTTTCTACAGTCGATGTAGCCATAGTTAAAGTCCCCCATGATAAGGAGGTGGCTAGGGTTGAGCATCGCCTCGTTGTCTATTAAGGCTCTTAATTTCCTTTGATTTAGTGGGCCACAGTTTGGGGATCTGTAGATACACCCGACAGTAAGTAAGTCCCCTCCCTTTAGTTTAATTTTGCACCACTTGGACTCTTCAAAAACACTCTCTCCCTGTACCCTCGCCTGGCTGGCTCTAAGGTCTTGCCTAGCATAGATAACCACACCCCTCTTGCAAGTTTCTTGAGAAAGGTTCGTAAATGAGTAAAATTCAGCATTACTGAACTCGCATTCCTCTGGGTCGATTCTCCTGTTCTTGTACAACAGTTCGACAACTTCTACAATAGCTGGTTGATGTACCTTCAGTAGTGTTCCAAACTCTTCTCTCTTATCAAGGATAGTGTCAGTATTAGTGTACATGACATTCAAGCCAGAATTAGTTCTCGGTAACGTCTCTGCTCTTAGTAGTACCCCCCCCTCCCATGCCCCATTCTCAGAAGCTGCAGCATTTTCTAAATACACTATTTTGCAGGGTGTGGTTATTCTTTCTGGCTGAACCCTTTTCGTACTCATTAAGAAACAACATTAGCTCTGGCAACTTGCAAAACTTTTGTGTAGACATTGATAATGAGTTATTCTTTCATACTGTAGTACTCTTATTAGTTTGGCAACATGTAAATGCAGTGGTTTCCCAGCAGCATTGTTATCAATCTTTTCATACACAGGAGTACTTCAAGTGAATGTTTTTACTACAGTATATTATATTATGATTTATCATAGATAAGATGAATTAACAAAACCTACTTAACCTACCTATCCTAGTAAAGCGTGGACAGGGATGGCCCGAAGTGGTTGTCATTGGGAGGGGGGTAATTGGTTTTTTTTTTAGCAATGTACCACTCGCCCTATCAAATTTGACCAACTAATGAGGGTTAAAAGAAAAATGACCAAGCGAACTACAAAATTTTCATTATTGAATGTATAATTATTAAACATTAGCATGGAAATTTAATGGATAAAGTAAAATCTTTACTCAAATACAGTTCCTCCCCGACTTACGACGGGATTAGGGACCCAAATCCAGGTCGTAAGTCGGAAATGCAAAAAATAATACATATAAAATCTAAAATGAAATACAGTACAGTAAAAGTAATCAATAATGAAGAATGGATACAGTTTTACTGTGCACTTACCTTTAATGTAGTCAGCTGAATGCACACGGGGCCCCCATAATTTTATATTTACAGGTATACATGGAGACTATATTAGTTGGATGAAGCAGAGGAGGAGACAGGGCTGGGTGGGTCATCAATGTAGCTTTCTTCAGACAGGTTTATGTACAAGGGAAACTTGCTGGTTGAAGGTATTGGATCATCTTTAGGGAGTGAAGAGGCAGCACTGGTTGGGTGTGAGGAAGCAGCAATGGGGGACTTCTTAAAATAGATTTCCAATTTAGACTGCACAGTTTGCTTTTTCTTTTCATTATAAATCCCCCTGTAGCAAGCAAGTGCATCTTGGACCATTCTGTCAACTTTGGCAAAACTCTCAACATTTTGATCCATTCCATCAAACGTTTGCATCCCCTTATTAATTGTAGCAAATGCCTCTGCCATTTGCTTCGCTGAAAATTTTTGGGAGGTGCAGGTTTTTCTTTTACATTTAGACTCTTTTCTTCCTCTGCATTTTCCTGTGCTTCCAGTTCGATAAAATCCTCTTTACTTAGCTCTTCTGCTACACTTTCAACCAAATGTTCAACATCTTCATTATCAATTTCTAACTCAAGCTGTTTATCCAACTCCACTATCTTGTTACTAATCTCCGAAATTACTTAATTTTCATTAAATCCTCTGAAACTGTTCACATATCTTTTAAGGACTTTCTTCCATATTCCATTCATGCACTGTTCTGTAATCTCATCCCATGCTCCAATAATGTTCTTTGTACATGTCAAAATGTTGTAGTCCTTCCAAAACTATCTGAGCGTTTTCTCACCTTCAGTAGCAGCAACAGCCCGAGCGAAGGTTGTACATAAATAATTAGCTTTAAAAGCTGCAAAGCACCTTGATCCATGGGTTGGATGACAGAGGTAGTGTTAGGTGGAATGTAGACTACCTTAACATCAGGGTGCATGTCGTCCAGGTGTGGTGGGTGTCCTGGAGCATTATCCAAAATTTACAAAATCTTGAATGCAATCCCTTGTTGCAGACAATACCCCTTGGCTCAAGGAATGAAACAATTCATGAACCAATCCTCAAACAGTACTAGGGTCATCCAGGCTTTCTTGTTACTGTGATAAAACACTGGCAGTGTGTGCTTACTGACATGTTTAAAAGCCCCGGGGTTCTCTGAATGATAGATCATGAAGGGCTTTATCTTGAAACCAGCTACATTCCCCCCCATAATTCGGTTCTTGAATGCCTTGAATCCTGGCATTGTTTTTGCCTCTTTGTGGATGTATGTCTGTTCAGGCATGCGCTTCCATAATAATCCAGTTTCATCCACATTGAATATTTGCTCAGCCAAATAATTTCCTTCCACGATGACACGATCTAGCTCCTCCTTAAAAGCTTCGGCAGCAACAACATCAGCACTAGCTGCCTCTCCACTCACCTTAACATTATGTAAACTGTAGCGGTTCTTAAATCTGTTAAACCACCCTTGACTTGCTGTGAAGGTTTACTCGCACTCATCTCCTGCCTGCTCCTTCAGGCTTTCGAAAAGGCTTCTTGCCTTAGCCTTTAGGATTAGAAGGCTTAAGGGTACACGCTTTTGTATCTGGTCTTCTATCCATATCACCAATAATTTTTCCATATCGTGAATAGGACCTTGTCTTTTCTTTGAAATTATAGTTCCCTTTATAGGTGCTGATCCTTTCACTACCTCGCGAATACTTTCCTTGTCCTTCAAAATGGTAGATATGGTCGAATGTGAGAAGCCTAGGTTGCGTGAAATTGTTGCTACAGTTTTTCCATTTTCATACTGCATTATTATCTTCATTTTTGTCTCATAAGAAATTGACTGTCTCCTTTTCTTTTGAGCACTACCAGCACTCTCACTTGTACGCTTTCCAGTCATTCTAAAGTCAATTAAATACGAAAGTAATGTCAGTACACAGCGCGATCAGTTGCGGATACAACGACAGCCAAACACCAACTAAACTCTCTACTGCGTGGGTGCTGTAGCCACGCGACGACCCAAGCCACGCGATGCTCTCGTACCGGACGGAAACGTTTTGGTATAGAAAATGCGCGAGTCATTTAAAAAAAAAATTGGTACCGACTGCGGCGGTCGTATGTGCGGAAGGTCGTTACGGACTGAGGCAGGTCGTAAGTGCGGGTGGTCGTAAGTCGGGGGGGAGCTTGGATAAAATTAACAGCATTAACCCATTCATAAGAAATTAAACTTAAATTTTAATTCTCCTAGTTTTCTTAAGCTTCCAATTAACTGCAATCTTTTGAAGATCTATCTGATCAATTATGTCATTTTCACAAGCTATGAGTATAAGATTATGCAACCGTTTTTGTGAGGTTCTGTTTCACATGGATGTTTTCAAAAGCTTAACCCTGCTAAAAGACCTTTCACTTTTACATACTGAAGGTGGTACTGTCAAGAATAGCCTGAAAACTTTTGGCACATGAGGAAATAAATGCTGCTTTCTATGAGCACTCAGTGCACATTCTGCAATTGAGCGAATGTTTTTTTTGTTTTTTTTTTACATGAGGATGCTGCTCCACATATTGAGAAAAATTAATGTTGAACACTTCTAATTCAACTTGGAATGATTTAGTGTCGGGTATTTCAGATGGATTGGTTTCTGACAGACTTTAATGACTTCAATAAAGCCTTCCGAGTCATAGTCTGCAACATTAAGATCAAGAACATTCGCAAAATATTTGAATGAAGATTTCAGATTTTCACATTTTGAAGTCAGCACAGAAATCATCGTATCTAAAACTGCATTCATTTCCTTACAATATATTATACTGAACACTAGAGTTTGGATCATCGTCAAATTTTTTTTTGGCTGTTTCCTTTGACGGAGAACTCTCTTGAACTCCTCTTCTCCATCAACATCAATATTTTTTGCACAGTTGAGTGCAGTTTCCAGCAAATGCTTCTGAGCCTCATCACTACTCCTTATTGACTGAAGTATTTTCAATGTACTTCACATATTTCTTCATAAGATTTCCAAAAGGCATCCACTGACTCTGGCCTGGTACTCCATCTTGTCTTTGAAAGGATTTTTTAATTGAAATGCACCTTCAATTTGTGCCAAATTTTCCTTAAGAGCTGCAGAACGACTGGAGCTACTGCTAAAAAATACATAGCAAGATTCCAGTACATCATACATATGTGTCATTAGTTCACTTGCATTGCAGCTAAGCTCAATCACTAACTTAGAGCCATGAGGTAAAAAGGGAATGTAAGTGATTGGTCTCTCAAGCATACCAGATAATTTCTTTTGAGCACCATTGTACTTTCCAGACATTGTTGCTGCACTACCATTATGTGGAGAGTAATAACTTACGAGGAAGCTATCATGGCCACTTGTTGCAATGCCATAGTAGTAGTTCCAAGACAGATAGCATTTCTCTTCATCCACAGAAAAGATTGGGGTATTTTCTTCTTTTCATTTGCAATTTTCTTAATTTTTGCACAGTTCTCTTTATTTTCTCCATGTTGTACCAGAAAACTACATTTCTTGGTTTCTTAACATTCTATTTAGCTATCACCAGACAGTTTTATTCAGCAGAGAGGAGACCCCATACACAAGTGGTTAAGCTTTGTTTGGTGAATTTTTTGGGCCTGCAACCCCTAATCCCTTATTTTTTTATTGAATTACAATACAAGTATTTTAATACAGAGTATTAAATTTTTTTTATTCCATGAGCGTTGTTGGTCCTTGTCTCCGAAATAATCCAATATATATCAAGTGAAATTTAGTTGTGGAGTAATGAATATTAATAATATTGCCCATTCTTATACTGTGTACCACTAACTTCTGTGAGCTTTTAAATTAAAAAAAAAAAAAAAAAAAAATTGTGCTATATTAATTGATTGATTTTTGACAAGGTAATTTTGGAAGATGGGGGACGAAAACAAAGATGAGGAGCGTGTATATGGAGGTTGTGAGGGTCCCGACGCCATGTACGTCAAGTTAATATCTTCTGATGGCCATGAATTCATTGTCAAGAGAGACCATGCACTCACCTCAGGAACCATCAAGGCTATGCTCTCTGGACCTGGCCAATTTGCTGAAAATGAAACAAATGAAGTCAACTTTAGGGAGATACCGTAAGTACCGAAGTGTGTGTGCACTTTACACTTGGTTAAACAAAAGCTTTTACATAATACTTTTTTTTTATCTATTTTAACACAATTCTAGGAATTTTATTGTTACTTTATTAATTTCAATGCAAGTTGGATGTTTGGATATTCATGAATGTATTGGGAGTGATAAAGAGACAGTTAATGGAACTGTGATGAGTGGAAGGAGTCTTTGGATGTTTGGATTTATGAAGTTTTGTACAACACTAAAGGGCGAAGGAGAGGTGAGCTGGGGACAAGCAAGGGCAATGAAGCGTGAATGTGAAGAATAGTACTGTATTGGTGTTGTTTTGGGATTACATGTGGGTGATAGTTATGTACTGTGAAGTGAGAAGAGTGAAGAAGAAAGAGAGGGGTTCTGGGAAGATTTCAATAACTAGTCATTCCTCGCAAATGTCAACAGATGTGTTCCTGAAGAATTAAGGCACTGGTGAATTTGGCCTTTGCAAACTTTAAGCATACAGTATAGCACTCTAGATGCTTTCCTGGAAAATGTAGTGTTATAAGAGGTCAGTATAACATGGTTCTAATTGAGAAATGTTTGTGACATGCTATTTCTTACCTATGAGCAAAAGAGGGTATCATTAGGTATTAGTAATAGCACTAGACATGATGCTATATACATGATAAATATGTAAAGGTAATTTTAAATAACAATTTTTTTTTAATTATTTAGTATGCACTTAAATAATACAGGTACTGTATACCCCGAAAACCAACACCCCCAATAACCGCCGTTTCGTATAACCAACGATTACATACAGGTATTGGGGAAATAACCCGCAAGTTTTGTTGATACCCCGGAGATCCGATGATCTGAGAGGAGCGGCAGAGCTGTATTGAATATGGTGGGCAGTGGCGTGGTGTGAATTCTTACCACGAGAGGGCTCTGCGTGCTGCCTTTGACTCACTACTGCCATCTTTGCTCTTCTTTACACTTACTGTGTGTCTCTAACTGTGATTTTTTTTTCGTTATTTATGACCGTGTGTTATGCAATCATGCCTAAACACCCTAGTGATAATTCCTATTGTGCTGCCCCCTCTTATGGGCAGCCTGATGGGTTATGATAAGGTATAATAAGAGTGGTGATGGACCAGCAAAGATTAGTAGAGACTTGAATTTTTCATTATATCCGACTTGGTGTGTTACTCAATCATACTTAAATGCCACAATGATAGTTCCCCTTCTTAGGGGCAGCATGATATGATAAGGCATAATAAGAGTGGTGATGGACCAGCAAAGATTGGTAGAGACATGAACTTGTCACCCTAGACCATCTCTACCATCCACATTCCTTATTTAAGGTTTATTATGCTTGCTTTATTTTCTTGATTGACAGTGTGCACGACAAAGTTATATCGAGAGTCGCTGGTCCCTAACCCCCTGAATTTGTTATGTTCTTATGGGATTATTTGCTTTGATATCCGTTGATTCACTAACCAATGACTTTTCTCAATCCCTATATGCGTTGGTTATCAGGGTACACCTGTACATTAAATTCTGCACTCATTATTTGAGAGCTTAAAAATCTCTGTTAGAGTAAATGGTAAAGAAAATTAACAATTTGAGGTAAAAGTAGGAGTCCATCAGGGGACTGTATTGTGCCCACTTCTATTTATCATGATGTTAGAAGCAGCATCATGGGACTAGAGGGCTGGCCTGCCTTGGGAGTTGTTGTATGCTGATGACTTAGTGCTGATAACAGATAGCACAGAATTGAAGGGTAGTGGACTAAATTTAAGAAATTGAATAGTGTTAAAGGACCTGAGAGTGAATGTGGCAAAAACCTAAGTAGGTACAGTATTGGCTAGTGGAGTGGGTGAAGGACCCATGGGGAAAATGGAAAATGGCCTGGGCTTCATGCAAGAAAGGTGGTAGAAGCAACTAAAAAATGGATGAGTGTGGAATGTGGGTACACAAGAGGTACAGTGGAGTAGATGGCCGACTGCAGGATGTTGCTTACTTTAAGTGTTCTGCATGTGCAGATAACCATGTGTCCAGAGCAAGATTGAAGAAACTTAACATAAGGGATATGTCCCTGGACTGTGTTGATGTTCTGTTACCTGGGTTGATCAGTGCTGGTGGGGGTGATTAAGCCTGCTCGGTTGCAAGAGTCACAAGTATCTTGAGAAAGTTCAGGGAACTGCTGCCTTTATTGGTGGCAGGAGAACCTTTCCTTTGAATGAAAAGAAGAATGTATACAGATGGTGTGAGAAGTGTAATAATGTATGGCAGTAAAATATGGGCATTTAAAGAAGATGACATAAGTAGACTTGAGCAAGCTGAAATGTAATGTATGGTAGTGAATCTTGAGCAGTTAAAGAGAACGATATAAGTAGTCTTGAACAAGCTTGATGAAGTACGTCTTGTTCCTATGAAAAAGGCCCTGGAAGGGAGTTTAGAAGTAGGTGCTGCCATACTTCAGTAGTACACACCAATTACTGTACTTTAGTGGTGATAGTCTTTGCCCAAGTTTAAAATCGAAATTCTTTTCTGAGAGTAATATCCTGTATTTAGACCTAGTGCATTTTCTTCTCAGCATGGGAGAATGCAGATGGTTCTCACCATTCAGTCTATCCAGCTAAGGCAGTCAACTCATATATTAATATTACAATACTGAGTATTTTCATAAAAAAATACTGTATTGATTCTAAATTGTAACTTGAACTCTGCGTAACCAAATTGACGCCTATATCAAGCACAGAGAGTTTGTAACATCAAAGACTTGATTGTATTGGTATGTTTTCTTAGGGGCACATCCATAGTTTTGTAAATCTTTTATAAGTGAAGTCACCAAATAGCCCAGTTGTGATCTGCCACTGTGAGGACCTATGTTCATTGGCAGACAGTGGGAGTCCAATGAGAATAGAGATCTAAATCTGGTACAGTGGAGTTGCGATAATTTGTGAAATAAAAATTCAGATACTTTTATTATTACACATAATTTTAATGCTGTATATGGTAAAATATTCACAATTCCCAGCCAAGTGCTGGTTTCCGCAGTCTTAATTTGCTCTCATTTGGCTCGGAAAAAAAGAAAGAAAATATAATATAAATATTCCTTAGAAAAACAGAAAATATAGTACAAGAAAACGGTGAAAATTTTTTGTATAATTCCACGTAATAGTATGAAATAGTAAATAAAACCTCGTAGTGACTTGCCTCACGGAACCCTAAAGCTCATTCAGATATTTGGGTGGTGGGTTTCTGTTTGAATTTAATGTAAATTAGGCTTGTTGTCAGGGGTAGATCATGGATTTCTCTCAATAATTTTTATAATCCATGATTCATATGTATAAAAATATAAATATTTGTGTTGGTTTATTACTGTAATAAATAATTAATCTTCTGAGCAGATGTAGCCATCAGATGTGTCACTGGGTTGAGACGAGTTAACTATTTCTCACCAGTTACTTTAATTCTGGTAAATTAGTTTATATAAATAAACGTATACAGTAATAGATTACCATTGTATTTCAACTGTTGATTATAAGAAGTAACACTTAATTGTCAAAGTAAAGTATAAATTTCCTAATTTGAGTGACAACATAAGATGGGGTGGAGGAGGGGGTAAGCCTCCAGTTTTTAAGTAAATAAATTAATTAGTTATTGTGTGTGTGTGTGAGAAAAAAAAATGGAAGGTAAATTGTTTGTGGGAAGCAGGGTGATTAAGTGGTGGACTGAGCTTCCTCCCCCATTCCCAAGCGCTTGGCTGCCCCTCCAACCTCCTTATTACAACATTATGCCATTTCACCATAATTCCCATATTATTTAGATTCATATGGTACCGGGTTAATCAAACATTTTGTAAAGTAATATTTTCCCGAAAAAAATCCCACACTCAATCTTAGAAGAGTTATTAAGTCATTAAATTCCTGGTGGTTTTACATCATAGGCAAACGGCTGGTCAGCTCTGGCACCTGCCTGTCTCCATATTTGTGTAATGGTGTTGCCCAGAGGATTATACAGTAGTATTATGAAAAGGGAAGGAGCTGTTTGTGATGTATAGAACGACTTTTTGTGCGCTATCTGTGTTACTGTATTTTTTATGTATGATTTGTATTTAGTGTTTATTAAAGTAGTTTTGGAACTTTATGGATATTTTTTGGCCTCTGGAACCTAACTAATTATTTTCATTAAATTGGTTGAATTATAATTTCAGTTTGATAATTGACGATCTCTTCTGTTATCTAACCTGCAAATTATCAAGACTCCACTGTACAGTATTGTGATGCACTTTGGTGCAGTACATTATACAGTATCTACAAAAATTCTGTTTCTCTATGTGCTTTCATTCTTTGATGTCTTTAGACCATCAAACAACCAACATGGATGGCATACTGTATCTCACTGCATCAGAATGTTATGTATAGATCTATAATTCCACTGGACTGCATTTGCCCTCAACAAAACCATATGTTTTTATTTTTGGTGGCGGTGGCGGCATTAGACCACCCGGGCACAAGTAATTTTATAATGACCCACATCAAGGCCTGGGGGTGAAAATATAATAAAATGATGATGATAATAATAATATTAATGTACTGTAATAATAATAATAGGGTATTAATACTATTAAAATTAATAAAAGTTAATGAAATAAATAACATTTACAATAAAAGAAACTTAATACTGTAATACTAATAAAAATTCATGAAAATTATAAAAAAATAAATAAAGAGCCATAAAAAAAAAGATCAAAAGTGAGAAACAATATACAGTATGTATGTTGTGTTGTCAGTAGTAAGAGAAATAATTGAGACCCTGCAATTGTGTGTAAATGAGGCAAAGTCAGATCAGCAACCTGTGACTTGGTCACAATTTTTTTGATGTCATATGGCAGCAGGGTCTACCATTAGACAACACGTTATGCTTCCAATATCTTCCCAGGCAGTAGTACCTGCATAAGGTATGTGCAGGGGTAATACTAAAAGGTACTGTACATGGTCATCAGCCAGAATTTTATACCATGTACTGTACTATGATATCCATATGAAGAAATCACATAAATGGAATGTATGGATTTTTGATAATACCTATACCATTTAATAACCAAGACTGGACTGGATGATTCCCTCCCTCTATAAGAGTGAGCTGTGAATGACTAACATTGAAAATTGGGTTGTTCCTGGAGTCAAAATTGTAACCAAGCAAATAACAGACTACTGTACTGCTGATGTGACACATGACTCGGTGAGGTATCAATTTTTGTATGGTAACACCTAAGCTTTTACCATAATTTTTAATTCAAATATTATTTCAAGGGTTTAAACACACTATATTTTCCTGTTTGCACACTGAGAATAACCCAGGCCAAACTCCATTTAAAATATGAGTTTAGGACCAATTCATCATTTTCATATTCATTTATTTTTTCCAGATCACATGTACTTCAAAAAGTGTGCATGTATTTCACCTATAAGGTTCGGTACACTAACAGCTCTACGGAGATTCCTGAGTTCCCCATTGCACCTGAAATTGCTCTAGAGCTGCTTATGGCTGCTAACTTCCTCGACTGCTGAACAAATCAATTATAAACCATATGCCTCTTGAGTTATTAAGTCTGTGAGATGGTGTGTGAATATCAAGGATTTTCTTTCAAGCATTGGTAGAGAGAGAATCTTAAAGAAACTTTAGGGTCATTCAATAGGTGATTTCATCATTCTGTACCATGATATTGTGATTTCACGAATTTGCAACATTCATTCTGTAAAGACAGTAAACGATTATAATCATCTTGCAATTGTGAGGTATTCAGATAGGAAGTGAAGAATGAAAATATATGTTAGGTACCAGTATGAGCTATTGCCAAGACATAAGGACAGTGAGGTGACAGAGCTAGATTTATCAACAGAATTTATCATAGCTTTTTCTACTTAAATGTTAAGGCATCAGTTGTTTTAAATAACTCCAACTTCAGGAAATTGAAAATCACTTATATGTAACTGAAATAGGAGGATAAGTTTGTATGTAAAGATGAGTGTTAGGAGACCATTTGATTAATATTTATAAAGAGAAGATGGTGCTGCTGTGTACATCAAATCCTTCTTTATTTGGCATGTTTGTTTATTGTAGGATAGTACCCAGTTCCTGAGGCTACAGTATTGTATCTGTTGCTGATAACTTAGAAAACTGTCACTGATATGTTGTAGCATCACTGAAATTGAAATAGTACTGAAAAAGAAAAAAATCCTCGCGTTTAGGCCCCAATTTCTCAAGTATTATGGCTTCATTCTTTCACCAGTTTGAATTTGGATTTGTCATCCACCGTAAACATTAATGTGCAGGTTTACAAATGGAAATTACTTAAAACTCTACCGAATGTATATATTAGGCAAACACTTTGCACTACTTGACATGTTAATTGCATATAGTTGATGCACTCACATCTTTGTTATTAATGACATAAATATTTTGTCCTAATATTTCTAATTCTTATAGAGATCCCCTCTATGTGCAGGGTGATGAATATGATTATGGAAGGTTTTTGCATTGGAGAGAATACTGCTAACCAGTTTGCCAAAAAAAAAAAAACATTAAATTGAAATTTTGAGTCTTGGTTTCCTTTATTGGTTAGATTCTTGTATTCTTTTTTTTTGGTGGAAATTTATATATTTAATTTTGTTTCATGTGTATGTTGTACAGTAAGTTTTGTGAGTATGTTGTTTTCTCTTGTATTCAATTCTGAATAAAATATTGGTACATTTTGTTATTGTTCACTTCCTTTTACTTAAGGCAGGTAAGCCCACTATCTTTCCACAGTAAAGTCCCAAAGACCATACAGTACTTCTGAATGTTTGTGACAAAAAATTATGATTATTGAAATATTCTAAGATTTTGCCATACAATATCTTTGTATTCTGCTCAAAGTTTGGTTAAAATCCATTGCAAATTGTTTGAGTTAAAATATTAACACATGTACAGAAGGAAAATGTATGCCCATGTTCTATACCTTGTGATAAACCTCAATAATAGATGTTGAATCCCAAGTGATATTGATTATTTTGCTGACTTATCATATTTAATTTTTTTCCAGATTTAAATCAGTTAACCATCTGGTACTCCATGCCATGGTTGGAAATTTCAACCCCTCGTGGTCTTTTTACGCAATTGCGTTGTTTACAATCTCGCCCCCTTTGTCTTTCGACACAGGTTGCATTGGTAACAGGAACGGTTTTTTCATGTTGGTAAACATTGGTTAGAGTGATCCAGACCCAAATTGCACCCTTAGAGATGCATCTGCCAGCCAACGAGGCTCATGGGAGGAATTTAGGTAATTGATAGGGCTGGTCCACTGTTCCAGCATTTCTGCTTATGGGAGGGGTGCTCTCAGTGTGAGAAATGACTAGGCGGGAGGGGTCACGCCAGCATGGGAGAGCTTAGCGTACAGAAGACCACGAGAGGGTTAATAAAGTATTACCATCAGAGTATTTAAAATGTTATTATCTGCAGAAATGGAAAAACAGTGGTCTGCTTGTATCATCTGTGCTGCAGGGCAAGAACCAAAGTGTAGAGATTACGGTGTCTACTCGCACACAGGTGGGCAGAGCTAGCCTGACTTCATCACCCCACCAGCCAACTTTGGTTTGTATGGGCGAGATGGGTATGTTCCAACCATAAAACTCATTTCTTTGTTGTTCAGTCTAGTTTTACATTATCAGACTCATGTTGGAATAAATACTTTATTCTGTACAGTCAAATGTTATCAGTACTGTATATTCTAACCTAGCAAATTAGTGTCTCAAAAGTCCCTTTTTCTGCAAATCTGTGTATTTTTGTGAGCGTTCCCCAATTACTATGTTTATCACTTAATTTTTTTTATTTTTTTATTTAATTTATTTTTTTTTTTTTTACGGGGAATAGCCCACCCGGGCACAGGTCACTGACCCACATCAGGGCCTAGGGGCAAAAAGAGTAATTAAAAAGAAATTAAAAATAGAAGAGGAAAATACTATTTTACTCTACACTGCAAAGATGCTGGTAAACCAGCTTTTTGAAGTGAGACATTGTATGAGTATGGAAACACAGAAGGCAGAGCATTCCACAGTTTTGGCTGTGTGAGGAAAGAAGGATGTACTACAGTATAACAGGTTATTCTAGTGTGACCTACATCCACACAGAAACTGTGGACACCGCAGGCAAGACGACTTTTACGAGCCCACGGCCTTGCCAGCGGTACACAGGATGCCAAAGCCACTGAACATTGCCCGTTAAAATACCTGTTAAAGAGAGAGAGAGAGTGAAGCAACATTGCAGCGAAAAGAGATTATCGACTAAAGGAGGAGAGTTAATAAAACGAAATGCCTTTGATTCCACCCGATCTAACACGTGGGCAGAAGAAGAGCCACCCCAGATATGAGAGCAGTACTCCAACTTAGGATGAAGGAATCCCTTATTAACTTGAAACAACTGCTCAGGAGTGAAGTAGCCACGGTATCTGCATAGCATTCTCAGCTTTTGGGAGACAGCTTTAGGAATGTTGTGGTTGTGTGGCTTCCATGACATATTAGAGAAAATGGTGAGGCCTAGCATATCTACAGGGTATTTTAGAATTTGGCAGAGTGATTGCATCCTGAAATGTGATTGGTGGGAGATCAGCTATTTTTGGAAAGTGTAATTTGTAAATAAATAATGTGTTTTATAACTTGAATTGAACCAGATTTCTACCTCCCCATTCAGAAATGTTGCACAGATCTGTTTTGATAGATGAAATGCTTATCAGCTTTAGAAACATCTAATTTGAAAATTAGGGGGAAGGGAAATATGAGAAAAGTGAAGAGTAGAATCCACAGCGTAAGAATGGATAGAATTTCTTGTGAAGTAAATCATTGATAAAAAGAAGGAAAAAAGTAGGTGAAAGAACAGAACCCTGTGGAACACCACTATTGGTAGAGAAGAGCGAGTGATTGATTTCTTGACAAGTGCCATGGATCGGTTCTCAAGGAAGCTAGAAATTAGAGAATAACGTGGAGGAGAGAAACTATAAGAGGGAAGTTTAGAAAGCAAAGACTTGTGTCATACCCTATCAAATGTTTTGGAGATGTTGATGGTTTAGAATGGTCACCCTTCTTTGGGATGGGCTGAATCGAGACATGATTCCAAGAAGAAGGAAAAGTTTGGGTTTTGAGGCAAGCAAGTACAGGGGCTAGAATTTCAGCACTCCCTCAGTTCACAAGGGGGGTATTCTGTCTGATCCATGTGCCTTACTCACATCCAGATTGGATATCACAGCAGCAACCCTACGAGTGGAGATTACAGTATAGGAAAGTGCATAGCTTCAGGAGCAGGAGTAGGAGGGGGAGAGTTGGAATTGTCAAAGGTGGAGTTAGAGAAGAATAAGGACCAGAAGGATTTACTAGAGGAAGAGTTAGCAAAGTCAATGGTCCTTCTTTTTATAAAATTCCACTTGGCCCTACGAAGAAGCCTTACAACAATTCCTAGAAGTAATGAAAGAGGAGTAGGTAAGAGGAGAAGGAGATAGTTTCATAACTTGATACGCCCTATCTCTCTCCCTACATGCAAGAGAACAGGATCGATCAAACCATGATTGTGAAGTGAAAGTTTTGGTAGAAGATGGGATAAATGTGCTCATACCACCTTGTATAACCCCAGCAATGCTGTCAGCACATACCGAGGCATCCCTAGTGGAAAAGTAATATTCATCCCAAGGAAAGTTGGAGAAAAATTCTCGCAAGGATTGCCAGTTCACCCTCCGATAGTGCCATTGTTAGCGTTTAAGAGGGGGGTTGGGGAGGTGGTCATGCTCAGTTTGATTTAATAGAAATAAGATTGTGATCAGAAGACCCTAAGGGGGCAGAAATTAAGTACGAATTATGTGAGGGGTTAGAGGTAAAACAAAGATCAAGAATGTTAGTAAGTTGATCGTGTCAATCTGGAACACGTGTAGGGTGTATAATTATTTGTTCCAGATCATTAAGTTAGGAAAAAGAATGCCTCAGCTCCACCTGAGTCATCCTTTGCAGAACCAAGCCACTCTCAGTGGATGTGTGGATACCAACGACTCGTGGCAAGAAGTGAAATAGTTATGAGTTCCAAATAGTTGGTAGAGTTGGGAGAACACTATAGGAAACAAAGAAAAATAGTCATAGTTGGTAGAGATATTTTGAGCCAGATGACATCATAAAGTGAAGATTCAAGATCCGTGAGTCGAGCTATAGGTGTATGGGTGTTGCAGTAGCACATACACCTCCTTTAGAATGGAAAGGTATAAAGGTTGTAGTTGGAGCCTTGAAAGGGTTTGGTGAAACTTATTTGGTCAGTTGAAGTTCAGAGAGTAGCTAAGCGTTCGATTTCATCTACATTAGACATGGGAAACTTAGAAATTATCTATTAGCCCCCTTGGGTCAATGAATACTTAACAGTAAGTAGATCACTTGCCTCTCATTTACAAGACAAATGAATATGAATTGTAGTTAATTATTAAACTATCAATAAGAAGACACACTTACAAACCACTGTAAATTATAGGAGTTCAATACATTAATCTTACATTCGACACTTTATCATTGAAATAATCCTATCCGACGAACCTATCGGTGTGAAGATATCTCTCGAATATGTTCATGTGTGTAGAATTATGTAATTTAAATACCTATTTATACAGAGTAGTACGTCTGTATAGAAATGTGATCCTTCAAGAGGTCTGAGTCGAGTGGGTGGAGTGTGGGCGGGGCCTCTTCCTAGGATGCGTGCGCTGCTGCTGGTTTCCTTGGCAACGAGAAGACGCTTCTGCTTTGGTGAGAGACGAGTCCACTTGAACTAGGGGAGTTCCTCCTCCGGCGATCAGAGAACTGCTGATGATTGGTTATCACACTGGTCGTTGCTGGGTCGCTGGCGAAACTGCCGTGTGCCAAGTCTTCACAGTCCACGTATATATGGAGATCTGTATGATGACACCGGAACTTCGTAATTCGCGCTGACGACACAACAATACTGTTCAGCTGCTAGTGAAACACCAATTGTTAGTCCAGGCTATGAAACTGTTCTTCAACACTGCAACACTGTAATGTCTAGGAAATACTGAGTGGAGTCTATCTCAACCGGCTCAATCTGGATATGCACCAACAGGCTGTAATATATGTATATTACGAATTCTGCATGTATTTGTATGTGGCAGAGATAAGGAACGCTCACTAAATATCGTCTCAATACGGGATATAGTTTTAAACACTCGGATTATGTAACGCGTCACTGCTGTGTTTCCTTGTTTTTCACAAAACACAGACGGATGATACGACTACCAGTTTGAAGAATCCGTACACACCGCTTGCCACCTATATGAATCAGCTGCTTGTCCAATTAACCAGTCCGTTCACATATATTCATATTTGGGTTTTAAGTAACAAAACCCAAACGGTAGTTCCTTTGTTTTATTATAAAAGGTTATATATATAATTCCGGAGTGTTGATCAACCGTAAGTCTCACTGTCTAGGAGTGAATGAGAAGGGGACGGCGTTTATGTATTATAAACATTAGGTCACGTCCTTACGATATAAGTTGATGTGAGTGACTGAAGCTTAAGGGCATTGCAGTGCGTGCTTACAGAAATGCTGAGCTATGGGTCTCGCCCTCTTGGGTGAGTTGCCCGCTCACGTGTCCATATCATGTCTTACTAATAGACAGTGGAAAGTTACAGGGTGGTGAATCTGAATATAATATCAGATGTATTGACCCATTTATATAATA